CATATTTTTCGTATATAAATCTGCAAAAAAGTCGAACTGCATTTAGGGTGAAAAATTGAAAAAAAGTCCAATTTTTTAATATATTATTTAAATAAATAATTTCTTCCGAAATTTTTGTCACTAACTAAATTCCTGACTAAAAACTACACAATTTTTAAAAAAATTCACCTTCCTACACCCTCTACTTTCCGAGATATTAAAGAAAATGTGTTTTCAACCCCGAACTTTGAGGGCTATTTTCACCCCCTCAACATGGATATCCACAGATATAAAAAAATACGTGTCAAATGATTTTTGGAAAGCTACCACATATGTCAATTTCATTAAAATCCGCGTGTGATACCTTGGTGATGTCCCTTGTCAGCGGAATTATCGTCGGGACTGTTTCCTACGGGCAGCTTACACAGATGAGTAATCAGTCGCGGCTGTTCGTATTCGCACAGATCGCACTAGACCTTCGGAATCGGAAAAACATTGTATCACGCGATCGAGATGCCATTTCGCAGGAGGGATTGACGGTTCTTTAATAAGCACGAAATCGTTCGGTTGGAGATTCGGACAGCGCTCGCGCCATTTAGATCGTTGTTGCAAGATATGCAGGTAGTCCTGCGACCATAATTTTCAAAACTGCTCATACTTTTAACGCATGAGTTTCCAACGAGTTAGTCGGTTTTCTGGTACGTCCCATACTGATGGCATGGGAACGGTTTTTAACGCGGTACCAATTAGAAAATATCCTGGCGTGAGCGCATCGAACGAATCAACATCGTCCTTCAGAGGAGCCAGAGGTCGAGAGTTGAGGAAGGCTTCTATGTTGTTGAGGAGGGTTCGGAATTCTTCCACCGTAGGGGTGGACGCGCCTAGTACTCGTTTCAGGTGATGTTTAACACTCTTGACCCCCGCCTCTCATAGTCCTCCCAAATGGGGAACTGCCAGGAGGAGAATCCTCCAATTTATAGAGTCCTTGAAGAGATGACCCCGGAACTCGTCGCTGGCAATGACGCCTGCAAATGCGTCACGAAGTTTGCGCTCCGCTCCGTGAAACGTGGTGCCGTTGTCTGAATATAAGAATTCCGGAAGTCCACGGTGAGAGCAAAATCGTTCAAGCGCTGCTATAAACATGTTCGCGGAGTAATCGAGATCAAAGTGAATCGCACGCGTTGCTAGACACACGAACACCGCGTTATAGGCCTTGATGGTCGTTCGTCCACGACCGAACGTCGGTCTTACTCAGATGAGGCCTGCGTAATCTACCCCACAGTGCGAGAAGGGGCGCGAAATTCGAATTCGGGGCTTGGGAAGACCGACTCGAAGACTGCTCGTACATATCGAACGCACCGGTGAATGTGAGTCCGTACTATATTTCTGGCCTCTAATACCCAATATCGTTCTCGAAGCACGCGGAGCATCAATTACGCTCCGCCATGGAGGGTGTTACGGTGCACTTGGGAAATGATGACCTCTGAGATTCGACATTTGGGAAGCACGACTGGGTGTCGCGCGGGAAAAGGAAGGTCGGATAATCGGAGACGGCCACCTACTCGTATGAGACCAGACGAATCTAGGAAGGGGTCGAGAGCGCGGAGTGGAGATCCTGCGGGAGCGGCCTTGGCTTATTTGAGCGACCTGTACTTCTCAGAAAATGCTTCGCTCTGAACTTGTCGTATTAGGAAGCGATGCACACTTGACACTTCATCGAGCGATAAACACGAGTCAGTGCTTGCCACGTCTCGATGTCGACACCGCGTGATGAACCGACGTACGTACGCTGTGACGCGCAGAAGGCACGGCCACGAGGAAATACGATTGGGCAAGTCCCATTGCACTCGACTATGATGGGTAGTCACTGATTTTGTTTCAAAATCTATTGGCTCTCGATAGTGCGCAAGGTGGTCCTGCTTCGGCCATGATGAAGGGTCCAAGACTAGCCAGGATCCACCACAATGTGAAGGTCGAAAACTTGACGGGAAGGAGGTCGCGAGAGGCGCAGTCCGCGGGGTTGTCCTCGGAAGGAAGATGCTTCCAACACTCGATTGGCAGCTCAGTTTGAATCGCGGCGATTCGATTTGCAACAAAAACCTTAAAAGAGGAAAGAGGTTTCTGCAACCAACACAAAACTATGGTCGAGTCGCTCCAACAATGAATGGAGGTGACTTCAAACGGAAACGATTGCAGGGTGCTCTTGATACAGCGCATCAACAGCGTTCGAGACACAATTCGAGACGAGGGATGGAAAGAGCTTTTACTGGCGCGACCTTCGTTTTTGCAAGCAATAACTGTACGCGTCGCCCAGTCAGAGTGTCAACTACCAGATACACCACTGCCGCGTAGGCGTGTTCCGATACATCGCAAAAGCCGTGAAGATGAATCTTTCGTGTGGTATTTTCGTATCCTGACCATCGGGGTATCGAGAGGTCATTCAGGTTTGGTAATTGTTCATAGAAGATGAGCCAACGTGACACAAGCTCTTCGGAAAGACTCTCGTCCCAACCTAGTTTGAGCTACCACAAGTCTTGTAGAAGAATCTTGGGAATTAAGATGACCGGTGCTAGCCAACCAAGCGGGTCGAAGAGGTGAGCTACGAGGGATAAAATTCGCCGTTTGGTAGGGGTTTCCCATGGCGGAAGAGAAACATGAATGTTAAATTCATCTCCTACGGGGTTCCAGCACAGCCCTAGCACCTTCAATTTCGATTGAAGGTCAAATGGACGTTTGAGCGCGAATCCGTGGTTGGCAGGATCGACTCCGGTGAGGATTTCAAGTTCATTGCTGGCCCATTTTCGGAGAAGAAATCCGCCCCGCGCTAGACAGTCCGCGGTTTGTGTCTTTTTTGCTAGAGTGTTCTGAATCGTATCTGCGCCCGACATTATGTCGTCTACGTAACGGTCATTGCGTAATATAGGAACCGCGAGGGGGAAATTGGGACCCTCATCCTCCGCTAGCTGGTAGATGACCCTTTGCGCTTGATATGGGGCTGAAGTTGTCCCATAAGTGACCGTGCGAAGTTCATAGGTTTGCACGGGCTCAGATGAAGCAACCCGCCACAGTATCAGCTGGTATGATTGATCTTCGGGGTGTACTAGTATTTGCCGGTACATTTGTGCAATGTCGGCGCTAAAAACATATTTCCATTGGTGCCAGCGAAGAATAAGGGACACAAGTTCCGATTGTAATTTGGGACCAGGGAAAAGATAATCATTTAATGATTTCCCATTTTGCGTAGGCGCCGAGGCGTTGAACACAACGCGGAGTTTGGTGGTGAGACTGTCGACTCGAGTCACGCCATGATGCGGAAGGTATACAGTCTGTCGGAGGAGGAGGGACGGATCAACGACACACATATGACCTGACTGGAGATAATCCTCCATGAAGGCAGTATATTGGGCTCGTAGATCGTCCGATTCAGAAAGTCTTTTCTGAAGTCGATGAAGAGATGACATAGCAATTGAGCGAGATTCGTCAATATCAATTGGGGGGCCTACTCGAAAGGGAAGACGCACCACATACCGTCCAGTGGGCGTTCGGGAATAAGTCGCTGCAAAGTGGGCCTCACATTGTTCCTTCTCCAGCGACAGAGTGGAACCGGAAACGGGAAGGTCCTCCACCTCCCAGAAACGCTTCAAGCTCGTTCAGCTCGGAGAGACTCGAGTGGTGAACGTGAATCGGTGGTCGCGGATTTTTCGAGTGAATCGATCCGGAAAGGATCCATCCGAAAATGGAGCGTTGGGCTAACATTGTCCCGGTAGGATTTTTACGGATTCCGTCTAGCATAATTGAGGCATACAGATCTGCTCCAATCAGCAAGTCGATCGGTGCGGGTGAGAATAGATCTGGATCTGCAAGGGAAAGATTCGCGCAAAAGGAAAGTGTTTCAAGGAGGGGGATTCGGTCGGGAATATACGAGGTAATTCGCGGTAGCACGAGAGCGCGAGCGAACAACATGGACGAAGATTTATCGGATGGTCGTAATCGGAATTTTACGATAGAATTGATTTCGTCTGCGGGTTTGCCGCCAATGCCAGCGATACGAGCCTAAGCCGCTTCTCGGTTAAGCCGAAGGGGTTGTACCAAGGATTCCAAAATGAATGTTGCATCGGACCCTTGATCGAGGAGTGCACGAACGGTCGCGGTTCGTCCCGATATAGACTTGACGATCACCCACGCAGTCGCAAGCAGAACACATCGGGTTTTACGCGGAATTTCGGCGTGAGCGGAAAGGGTGGTAACATTCTCTTGTGCCGACGAAGTTTTCGCATGATCGCTCGAGGTTTTCGTCAAGTCCGAATGCGAATGTGCGGATTGACCCCTACTTTCGCCGCCCGCGTTGGCGGTTCTTTGCGCTTCCGGGTGTAATAACAAATGATGGCGTTTCTGACAAACCATACACGAAAACGAACTGGGACAGTCGAACGCTCGATGACCACGACTTAAACAATTGTGATACCGCGCTTGCCGGCGTATCCGCGTTTCGCGATTTGCAACTTACATCGCGCGAAATTTCGGACACTGGTTTAATCGGTGCGAGTCGGGACAAAGCGGACAGTTTCCGCTACTGGTTACACTATTGTGTGTTCGGTAGGTGTTTCGCGTTTCCGATTTTCGCACGGGTTTTGAAAGAACCGTTTCCTTCCGCAACGCTCCGCTAGACGCGATCGGGGTTGTAGCGGCGGCTTCTTACGCACGAACTTGGTTGTCGATCATCGCGGTTAATTTGCTTAACGGCGGAAAAGTTGTCCAAAAAATTCGTTATTATACATTAGTTATAAAATCGGATGGTTTAATTATGTTTTAAATGTCGCTCTTTAATTTCTGGCTAACATTTCGATATTAAAATAGTAATACGACGGTGTTTTAGCGAAAAATACATTTTCTGTCCTTTTCTAATGAACTAAGCACAAATTCTACGTGAGCCTAATGTATTCCGATTTACAGCTTTTTAATTAAAGAAAATAATTTTTGTTCTGGCTATGAATAGTTTAGTACTGACTGATTTTACATATATAAATAGATTTAGTTAATTAATTAATTTAATGTCTGATAATGCCGTAAATAGAAATAGTATTTCCATCCTTTTCTAGGATTAGCGCTGTGCTGACTCGCGCACGTTTATTCAAAAGGAATTAACCTTAAGAATAATATTTTAACATGAGTCCGAACGGTTGACTCGGAAAGTCGTCCTAAACGGTTGACTTGTAAAAATTACTAAATCCGTAACGAATGATTTTCGTAAAATTTCTAAGTCCGACTTAGATGACTTATATTGATGATCTTTTAAGTCCGACTCGGATGACTTATGTTGGTGATCTGACGATGCGTTTCATCGTTACTTCCTCGAAACGTCGGAAGTGCAAGGAGGCATGCTGATTGGTTCTCATTAGAAACGTTGATTTTCCAATCAACATGCCCCTTGACTTGGGCCCACCCTCTCTTGCGCCCTGAGCGCGCCTTTTTTGGAAGAGGGTGGGAAAAGATACCGATGAGTACGGGAGGATCTCGAAGGCCGGCAACGCCGGGGTTTTTCCCTCCAGGTGACACGCACGTTGTCCTAAAAAGTACCGCTAGGACGGAACCGAGGCCCATCCTCGGTGACCCTTCGGGAAAAACCCTGTTTATGACTGAGTAGTTATTAAAGACTAAATGAAACTTGGAAATTCTAAAGGCATTGTTCGAAAAAACGTAAAACTAAATTGCCGTCGATGGCTAAAAATCTGTCTTTCAAAAATAACTGTTGGACCCGAACCCATCATAAACTACCTATGAAACCCTCGCATATTGTGTTCCGTACCACGTTCGGAACAAGCGCTGATCTCAAGGATTTCGGGGCGAGTATCGCGGCACGTAGGCACAGCATAGTGTAACGGAAATTTTTCATACAAAACTATTTATTTGTTAACGTCAAGCTGTGTGCACAGGTGGCACACGTGTCAGGGTCATCGTATCCCGGATTTCGACCCGGTTCTCAGGGGTCTTGGGATGACAATAATATAAACTCATGTCCGTCATCGAGTTAAGGATCGGTGGTAACCGATAGCTAAGGACCGCAACGAATTCTAAGAGTCGCGAATGTTATGGTTAGAGGTCGATGCCTTCTTCTTTGAGGATCACCGAAAGTGTCGTGTCTCGTGGCCGATGACCCGACGTCATGGTGCTGCGTGGCACGTGCACAGAGATTAGGGTATTCTAGTAGGATCTGGTCACGGAGTGGGGAGGATATTGCATCCTTCGTTAAGCGGACCTTGAGGGTCAGCAATGCACTTAACCTAGAACTTTCAGAGAATACACATCGAAAATTATTACAAAGACTTTTTATCTAACATATTAGAATTAAAATAAAATAATACATAATCTTGTTTTAATCATTCTAACTTAATATTCAATTATTGGTGTGAAAAATATTACCTACTCTAAATCAAAATTATAAGATAATTAATATAAATTATAACATATATATATTCTGATTACCGACTGTCGAATTTGATAGATATGGTAATAGATACCTAATGTACTGTCGATAATTGGGTATTCTAATCGGTGGATAGAAGATTGTCGTGATGATAGTGGTAGAAAAAAAAAATTTCCCCAGGGACGTTACACATGTATCGGATTTCTTTGTGTCGTGCTTCTATGGCATTTTCTGACAATTTTCCTATCGGTATTATAGAATTAGAAATTCTGTCTATTCCGTGGACTGAAAGTTTGTGCAGTGTTACGGACATATAATACCATTTATAATTTTCTAAATATATTGTCTGTATTTCTATTATTAATTTCTTTAACTCGATTTTATTAATTTTTTCCCACTTGAAATAACAGAAAGAACGATTCCTATTTTATGTATTAAATTGTAATTAATTCCCGTTATGGTAGCACTTGTTGTTAGGTTATTAAAAAATCTACGGGCAGTATTTCCATCGATTGTTGTTTCATACCCAGGTTTTGGTATGTCAACTAACAGTCCCATTTGTTGCTTAAAGTGATCCTGAATTTTTCTTTTATTTTCGGAAAAAAGTTTTTTGGTGTCTTCTCCTCTTACTTGCCACGTGTCTTAGATTTCCCGTAACTTTTCGGGTCGAATCTGTTGACTGGTAATGCAACGGTTTCTTTATAATATGCACATATGCACTTCCCGGGATTAAGATAACCCTAACCGCGGTGATCTGTAAACACACGGACAAAGGGGGGAATTTGGCCGGAAAGGCAAAGCCGAAGGGAATTCGGGGAAAAACGAAAATGAACACTCTTAATCTGATTATCGCAGGTCGCGAGATACGGTTGAACTGCCGCCTATTGTCAAGAGACAATAGGACCTCGCTTCCCCGCACCCCCCAGGCGACGAGCTACTCGGTCCACCCGTGATACCTGAGGAGCACGGGGAAGGGGGCGACGACAGTCCAACGGTACCGCTCGTCTGTTTATTTTCGAATTTGAGAACTATATAATTCGTCTCGAACAACATATATGTTTCCTAACTCTAATCGCTGCGCGTATAATACAGCGTGTCGATAAATGCGGTTAAATACGTCTTACGAACCATGATTACATGAGGAACGAGTATACAGTAAAATACGGTAAGAATACAATAAAATGTGGGTTACATATGCCTTATGAACTACGAATAATATATAATATAATATAATATATTATGTCTTATTCCTAATATTAACGTCGGTCGCCCGACGTCACATGCGTGTGGCATAGAACGACAATTATTATACTTATTATTCTTATTCCTACCAATCTAACTTATATTGTTAGCCATATTATGCAGCTATTATCGATATGACAATTATTATTATACTTATTACTCTTATTAATTTCAAACTAACTTAAATTATTAGCCATATTATACTGCTAGTATCGATAGAACGAAAATTGTTGTACTTAATACTCTTATTGTTTTCAATCTAACTTAAATTATTAGCCATATAATGCTGCTATTATCGATAGAACGACAATTGTAATACTTATTAGTCTTATTCCTACAGAATCTAACTTGTATTGTTAGCCATATTATGCTGCTATTATTGATAGAACGATTATTATTATACTTGTTACTCTTATTATTTTCAATCTGACTTAAATTATTAGCCATATTATGATGCTAGTATCGATAGAACGATAATTATTTTACATACTACTCTTACTATTTTCAATCTCCACGTTTGTTCTATATGCTATATGCAATAAATTTTCGAAGCACCTAATCCATAAGTGCAGAGGTGACAATCCGTATTCATTTCCTTGTTCATCATGTTCTTGTTAATCAGTGTTCATTTCCTTGAGTGTACAGCCGCAAATATAGCATACTTGTGATGACATTGTGTCCGATATTATATTGCAAATGCTTCCATCTATCATGGTTAGTGCTGCATCATAAAAAACTGTTACATTTATATTATTATGAAAAATACTAGTGCTATTTAATTTTTCTATTACATCT